AGACAAATTATAACACTTGACCTTATACGACATTTGAATAGCATTATGTTAATATTAGTGTACAAGCAGTTTTTGATATGCTGCAAGACTGTTGACTGTCTGGCTGCTTTCTGACCGATTTTAGATGTCATTTTTAAATTTAAAAGAAAGTCAAAATCTGCCTCAATAATTTTCACCTAGCCCGAACGGAGCACTTAAAGATTTTACAAAATGAAAGACTATACATTTTCAGAGAAGAAAAATGGCTTGGAATTAATGTGGATTGGGTTGTCTGCCATGTCAGCAAACCAACCAGTTTTGAAGATTAGCTAGATCCCAATGGCTGTCAGAGGGGGCGTTGTCATAGGCTTAATTATAATGTGTTGGTTGGCTGAGGAGAAAATGTCATTTTTAAAAAAAATTATATCTGATAGATTAACATATTGAATTTTGCGGTACCCTTGCAGAGATTTTGTCCTAGTTATTATGCAGAGACCCGTTTCAACGCGTCGCGTTCGATTAGGGAATTAGACTTTAAATAATTAAAACTTGTTAGTTTGATTTTATTCTTTATTGTACCCCTTCAACTGTTTGACAATAAGGCTCTGCGGAGTAATGTCTATGTCCTTAGCCATTTGCATTAGGATTGCTCCCACATTAGAGTCATTGTCCATACCGTTTCCATTTACTCGTCCACCAATCTCAGTAATATGGCTTGACCTCCATGCCCTGGTCTAAAGACGGATACAAAATACGATGAACCATATAAATGAAACATAATTGGAGCTGATTTGGAAATGTTTACTAAATGCTAAGTGATACTAACCCTTTCCACAGAGATAATATTTATTGTCATGTGGGGGAGGGGATTAACGGTGTCTTTTTGGGACTATCCGGAAATTTCACTTGTTCAGTGCAATTATTTCAGAGATGCCAATTTCTGATTATAATTCTGGAGAATATATTTTGAAGAGATATGTTGTGAACACTTATAGATTTCTCAGCATCAAGGCATTTTGATAATTTTAAAAGCATGTACTGGCACTGTATGCTTTAGCTGGACACCTGAGCATTTTCAAGTGACTGTGATGATTAGCAAGTATTAAGGGTTAAATAACAGAAGTATATGTGAATCTATTTAACTCGGGTTTTATTTTTGTAATGATGTACTATTTTCTAAACATTTTACAAAATTTAGTTTGGTCATATTCAGGGTATCATCTTCCATTAGAAACAAATTGCAGTTGGAAAATGTGGTTGAAAGGTGACAAAAAAATTAAACCTTAGGACCACCTCTGCACATTGCAAATAAACAATGGCAGTTAGATTGTCCTCGGAGGCTGGTAACAAAATTTATGTTTTTGCAAGTTTGAAAGTGTGGTTGAGTTACATATATATATATATATATATATATATATATATATATATATATATATATATATATATATATATATATATATATATATATATATATATATATATATATATATATAATATAATAATATAATATATATATATATATAATATAATATAATAAATAATATAATATTATATATATATATATATATATATATATATATATATATATATATATATATATATATATATATATATATATATAATATATAATATATAATATATATAATGTAATTTATTATGCACCTTTAGACTCTCATATATCCAATATTTGTAATGAATATCAGGAATTTGTCATTATGGAGAAGCCATGTACCACATATACTCGTGATTATGTCGGATCCGACTGCAAATAAAATAGATCCTGATCTACTATCGCATAATGCCCGGCAAATCAGTGTATTCTATGTTGCTTGTTTCAGCGATTACTTCCAACAAATCGCATAGACACATATCTGCCTATACATTTTGCAAGAACAGTCATAAAGATCTAATAATGTATCCTTATAACCTATCCTTACCTTAAATATTTACAGCAAGTTTTTCTGTTTTTAATTTTGTAGTGTTAGTTTCTATTTTTGTAATCATATTGTTTTTTTTCTAAGTGTTGTTAAATGTTGTAGATTATGCGCTATATAAAGTCCTCGTTATTATTATTATTATTATTATTATTATTATTATTATTATTATTATTATTATTATTATTATTATTATTATTATTATTATTATTATTTGCGGATCGTAAATATTAGCTGTATACTGTAAATAAATTGTTTCAGAAATTTTCATTTGTGCAGAATAAGAGAGACTGCATCATTAATATTAGCTTAAATAAAGGATGATGTAAATCATTTTACTGATTTTTTGCTTACCCCGTAAGGTTTTCTCCACCAGACAGTAAGGGAATGTTTGCTCTGAGAAATAAATTTTATTGTAAAGATGTATTACGGATCTATACATTTGTTATATACACCGAATGTTACGCCTTCAATAAAATGAGGTTTGAAACGTTACCAATTTCTTATACATACATACATACATACATACATACATACATACATACATACATACATACATACATACATACATACATACATACATACATACATACATACATTCATACATACATACATACATACATACATACATACATACATACATACATACATACATACATACATACATACATACATACATACATACCCATTCAAGCAAAATTAAAACATCATGTTGGGCACCCCTGGTGGACATGATATGACAACGATTTAATGAAATGTTTTATAGGTAGTGGAATAATGTAAAAGACAAAAACTTGCATTGTTACGTTCGGGACATGTAACAAAAAATATTATTAATGATCTCGAAGAAGCAACCATTTTGTTTTTCTTTGTATATTTGTGTTAAACGGTGCCTGCAGTTCTGTCGAATTTTCTTAAAGAGTTATGAACGGAAAATGTAATGAAGCTTGCAGTTAATTTTACATATGTAGACGCTTTCATAATGTACATGCACCGTTTGACTTTAAGATATTTATCTGCTCAAGTTGAATTTGAGACTGATCAGTGGGAGCCATTTTCCTCAGCAAAATCGAATCCTTTTCAGGCCCAGATTTGTCAATTTAATTTATAACATCATAATAAAAGCGTGTTATGTTTCTGGAAGAGAATCATCATTGCTGAAAGATATTGTTCTAAACTAAATCTGTAAGACTCTTTGGATACATATCGATGTTGAAAATAATAATAATAATAATAATAATAATAATAATAATAATAATAATAATAATAATAATTTTATAATAATAATAATGAAGAAGAAGAAGAAGAAGAAGAAGAAGAAGAAGAAGAAGAAGAAGAAGAAGAAGAAGAAGAAGAGGAAGAAGAAGAAGAAGAAGAAGAAGAAGAAGAAGAAGAAGAAGAAGAAGAAGAAGAAGAAGAAGAAGAAGAAGAAGAAGAAGAAGAAGAAGAAGAAGAAGAAGAAGAAGAAGAAGAAATAAAATCGTTCTTCTTTCTAATATTACATTTTTATTGATGTTCATTTTCCTGTTTACCTTCCTAAGATGTTTGAATTTTCGGCTTTTTAATTTGTAAAATTATGTAGTTATTTATTATTATCATTTTAGGAGTTTACCGAGACGAATATACCATTATATTAGACTACAAAATTACCGCACGGAAAATGTCAATAATTTAAAGAAATGTTTAACGATATAAACATTTTTGTCTACTGTTGACAATATTGTATCGTAGGATAACAGTCTTTTTCGTCAGAGATGTCTTAACTGGATAGTTTCCAGATGACTCAGCCTCCATTATCACCTGTATATATAGTATCGAGTACCATTTCATACAAACCCTATTGACGTTATCGGACTAATAGGCAAGTTTTCAATTCGTACTCCAAGGACTGAAATTCTAAATGAATTCAACATTATCACACAGCGACCAAGTCATACTTAATTTTATTTTAGGTAGGTAGAGCGCTGTACCGAAGTACCTGTGTTATTGGAAACCGAAGCTTGCAATGGTACTTTTTGTACAGTGCCCATACGTTGATGGACACTGCCTATCAACTAAGTACTAAGTTTATTCTACCGTTGTCAGACGCTAACTGCAGAAACAAAGCTGTAGATGCCATACATTTTCAGCGAAGAGAGAAGAAAATCAGACAAAGAACATTTATCATTGCTTGAAAAGAGAGAAGTCTTCCTCCAGCTTGTGCTTCTGGAAAAATGCTAACTCACGTTTCTATATTAAAGTTGTTTTCTGTATTACACACGTATCGTTCAATAGGATGACATTAAAATGACGTTAGTTCTCTGACAACATGGTTTCTTTTTGATGGCGAAGACATTAATTCATTCTCGATGATGTTTATTACTTACTATTGGAGGTCTCTTTTCGAAGTGATGTGATGTGGCCAGGATGAGTAACTAATTTTGAAAATCAAAGACATCAAAATCTTCGACTGTCTTATGAGTGAATTAATTTTTTTACATCAGTTACATACGATTTACTTGTTTTGTGTTCATGTCAAGAAAAAATATCATGATATCGTTTGATTCCTTATTACATTATTACATATTATTTTTAGATATTTCTATAAAGGAGTAGGTATATTGTGATATACCTTCCGTCTGTCCATTATCACATGTCTTCCTCAAGTGCTATTTATTATTACATGAAACTTTGTATTTTATATTTTCCGTCAATCGGACCGTCTTTGACCATTCCGTCGAGATAGAATCCCGAGATGTAATTCGCAGCCATTGAGAACTATATTTTGAACTACTTTTCTTCACATGGCTAATATGAAATCAAAAGGAGACAAAGTCTCAATTGTTAGTCTTTTTACCTTTTTACCTTTTCTGTCGTAAAATATGTAGCGAATCGCCAAACCAATCAAACTGAGGTGTGTTTCAGCCACTGCTTTCAAGATAACTGTCTCGTCATAAATGGCAGAAAAATATTCCCCATTAGTTTCCCCGTAGAGATATGCGAGAGGTCTGTCATTATTGACTTCTGCGTCTAAGGTCCCTGCGGATGGGTCAAAGTTCAAATGCACAATAATTTCATTTATACTCAGTCTCAAATACGTCCTGAACCGCTCCGGTGGCCTAGTGGTTAAAGCGTCTGCCTCAAATACGGGATGTCGTTGGTTAGATTCCCGGTCGAATCAGATCAAAGACTTACAAAAATGGTACTAACAGCTTCCTCGCTTGGTGCTCATCATTAAGAGGTTAGTGTTACGACTGGTCGGTCTGGTGTCAGGACATTGTGACTGGGTGGGACATTATGCTAAATGTCTGCGGCATGATGCCCCTGTCTGCGGCATGATGCCCCAGTGTTAGACATCACTATAAACTACCACATTGCATACATCATAAGGATATGACTGAAATATTGTTAAAGCTACGTTAAGAATCATAATCACATCACATCACATCACATCACATCACATCACATCACATCACATCACATCACATCACATCACATCACATCACATCACATCACATCACATCACATCACATCACATCACATCACATCACATCACATCACATCACATACGTCCTGACCAAACGTCCCATGTGCATCCATGGGGAAACGCATGTGGTTTTGCAATGGCAAGTTATTGCAACTTTTTAGATTTTACTTTAATGTCAAATATATAAATATCTAAGAGGCTTTCACACTCATTTTCACACTAAGTCATCGACAATATGTAATAGAGTATTAACGTTTACTTTATAATGGTGTCACGTAACAAGATGTCACAGTGGTTATTGATCGCTCTATTGAAATACAGTAACATAAAAAAAACTAATGCCGTATGGCAGATGTCAAAAAATGCTGGAAAATTGGCCAAACTATTTGTATGAAGACCTCGCCATTTTTTTTTACAATTTTACTAACGATTATTATAGCTTTTATTGGATCAGAATGATTTATGCAAATATAAAGTTATAAAATCTATAATGCATTTTGTTATAACCCTCCAAAAATAGACTAAGAAGGTTTTGAAGCGGTGCTTATTACTTTTCGTTATTTTAATAAAATTGGCTATACTCTAGGGCAGAGTGACATCATTTGTATCCATTCAAAGTCTCAATAATAATAATAATAATAATAATAATAATAATAATAATAATAATAATAATAATAATAATAATAATAATAATAATAATAATAATAATAATAATAATAATAATAATAATAATAATAACCTTCTCTGTCCTTGCCGGTATTTATCTTTTTACTATATTTAGTATGTGTGACTATCTTAGTAGTTGTGACTATATTTAGCAGTTGTGACAATATTTACTAGTTGTGGCTATATTTAGTAGTTGTGACTATATTTAGTAGTTGTGACTATATTTAGTATTTGTGACTATATTTTAGCAGTTGTAGCAATATTCAACAGTTGTGGTTATATTTAAGAAAAGATCTTGATCATTTACTAAAATTATTGTTGCCTTCATCTCGAACTTTTCTTCTTATAAATTGCGTGAAAATTGACCAACCTGCATTTGAAACCGGGCTTAGAGGTCATACTAGATTTGCATCAGAACCATTTATATAGTATGATATAGTATTCCATAATTATCTCTCTTAGCCTGTCCTCTAGACGTCGCATATGTATGACTAGGACAGCGACATAATTGTTGATATGGTTTTGCCATAAATTGTAATTATATTAAACGTTTGTTATTAATCAAAATATCTTCCTTATTTGCTGGTTGTGCGTTAAAAGAAATGTATTTTAAACAAAAAACAGAGTTTGACTGCATCACTTGCAATCATTTAGTATCTTTTTCATGCTGTTGGTAAATATTAAACTGTACGTTAAATTAGACAAAGCTTTCGCAGCCCTAATATACGTGAAAAGAGCAGAATAAGGTTCCGCTCTACAGTTTCGCACTTTGCATATGGTTTAATTATCAAAGTAAACTAATTATTGGATGTTTTACTCACTAGTAATCCTGATTATTTAAGACAGACATTGTACATCTGATTTTTTAAAATTAACTTTGAATTCCCGTTATTGTGACATGTGATTAATGGAAAAAATTTGGGTTATAGGGTATACAGCTTTGCCTTTCTTAATATGAATACCTCTGAGAAGACTTCTTTTTACGCTTGATCTTTTTCACTTTCGCGGACTTCAAACGTAAAATGAAAAAAAAAAATGGCCAGTAACTTTTTACATTTCATATCTTTTATAATTGCTTCATAGCCCTTTGAGAAGCTGGGATCGTCTAATCTTGCAAAATTGGTTTTCCCAATTCGGTGTACTGCGGATTAGTTCAAACTAATTTTTCGAGCACATGAAAGCAGCCAACATATGAACTGTCTGCTTTACGTTGTGCATATTTTCCATAATTATCACACGTAAAGAAATTGCAGTCACAGTACATGAAAGCAGCATACACTTATGCCTAAATTCTCTCCGTTGTGTAGGTTGACAATGCAAACAACTTCCCCTTTAAAATGTCTATTTCATAAAAACATAATTACTATAGAGCGCTACCTAAACCTCTTCTTTCCAACATTAATGAGTTCTAGTACCTAAGCAGATTAACCTATTTTCCAATATTGCAGGGAAGCCATTTCAAAGCAGGGTATTTCACTCATTTAGTTTTCATTAGACACTCATAAATCTTGCATATCCCGATATACATATGAGATTGTCATGAAAATGCATATCATTTCATGAGTTTGTCAATGACGTAATTATAAATAAATGTATAGATCTTATCCATTTATTTCATAATATCTTGGGCTTAAAGAAGCATAATATCAACGTGAAGTATGTTGCACACTTATATATATATATATATATATATATATATATATATATATATATATATATATATATATATATATATATATATATATATATAAAGAGAGAGAGAGGTGAACGTTTTATATTGATTGTTTAACAAATTTAAAACAACTGATATTTGCTGCAATCGACGGCACATATGACTGAATTGCAAATTGAACAGCTAAAGTTGGCTACTATCGACGCAAAGGTGACATCGTGAACTGACTTTTCCGGCGATTGTATGTGAGGGACCCGTAAGAAACAATGCATCTTGTATAAACGGATTCTAACCCTCACACGCTCCAACTCTAGGATGAAAACAAAATTGTAGAGGTACAAAAATCAGTTTCCTCTGGGAGCCCATCGTGCAATTGTAACGCTGACATACTATCTGTAAATGATCAAGTCAGAATATACGGTATGACCAATATAGATGAAGTGTTAAATATTGATTTTTAATTGTGAAAGATAAAGCTGTAAGTATACAAAAAAACCTAAAATAAATAAAAAAAATGTTGTTGAACGAAGACAACCCTAGATCCTTAAATATTTGCTTAATATCCTGGAGAGTTAAAGTGGCATCACAGCAACGAAAGGACGTTTGGTCTGAAGCTGAAACACTGGAGATAGGCAACGTACAATAAACTTGAAATGTACAAGATGTCGATACTTCGTCTCAATGTGACGTCGATGACATCGTTTCATCTAGGACGTTTATTAACTGGTTCGATTGATTCCTCTGTTAGCTCATGCATCCAAGTATAACTTAATTTTCAAACTACTCTTCAAATAAACATTGCATTGCAAACACCATCGTCTGTTACCGTTTAGTTCATAGGCCAGAAAATATTTGACTTCATTATTTGTAAAAGAATTATTGAGGAATTTATTTGTATCTCAACATGTGGCCACAGGACAGTTAATTAAAATATAAAACCTCTCCAGTGACGAATTATTTGATATATGTTATGTCAGAATTGTTTTGACTGCAAGAGAGCATTTGGTAGATTATCTGAAACTGTCATTCGATAATCTCATTGCCGTTTGCAGAAAAGAAATGTTTGCTTCTTTATTTTCAACACAAATCATTCGCAAAGCAGGCATCTAGAGTGTAATAAGAATGACACACGTTTAAATATCTTTACATTTTTATTATGATAAACATGAAAAAATTATACATAAATTTAATCAGAGTAGAAAAATAATTACTTCGCTTTTTCATTCGGTGTGTATATTCCTTTCTAATGGATTAAAATAACAATTAATTATCATTTCCTACAGCGAGATAATGGGAAACCAACCAATATGGTCAAATCTGTCTGTAATTTTAATATAATTTTACATACCATAATGGTAAAGTCCATTGATGTAAACTGAAAATAGACAAGTTATTTTCATTTTCAGTTTTGGTCTCTTTACTCTGTAGTTGTAGCAGCAGTAGAAGTGCATGTTGATTGTTGTTTTTTTTAGCAATTCTGTGATAGTAGTGGTGTTGCAATGAATTTGGTAGTAATGACTGTGTAGTTGAAGTAGTTGTAGTGTTTAATGCCATTGTCAGCACAAGGCAAATGTAAAGGCAATACTGAAAAACGCAAGAATCACAGCAGCAGGAAAAGAAAAGGAAGTAGACAAAGCAGCAATATTAGAAAAAGAATGTGAGAATCTAAGTCTTTAAAACGTTTTTGATACAAATTTCATGGTATCGTCAGAGACAATACCTATCAACAAAGTCGCTTCATCGTGTGGGTTGTGACTAACATTTTGATAACAAAAATCAATAGTCGCACTAACATTATACCAAACCCTGTTTTAGCACATGCGCATTTTGTTCAGCTGTGTCGTGGTATTATGTCCACTAAGAATATATGGCGAGGAAGATATTAATTATGTAAGTTGTTACTAGTGCCCAAAACTTCTTTTTATTAACATATATTTTCTTATATTTTGTGTATATGGATTAAAGACACGCGACTTTGATGTTTAATAGAGTCACGGGCGTTTTTCTCACAAGGACATGTAACATACCGGTAAGTGTCCATCGAATATTAGTTTTATGTTGGACTAATAATATTGGGCATCAAACTGACTATTAATATATCAGTTATATTCGGGTTTCAACAAAACTGATTTTACGCCAAGAAAACTTTCATAATAAATGGTATTTTACTTTTCCAGTCGCAGCAGGACAATAACTACATACGGAAAAATATTTTTATGAACAGCAGCAACAGTAATAACATCAATAACAGTAGTAGCAGCAACAACAACGACAATAATAATAATAATAATAATAATAAAATAATAATAATAATAATAATAATAATAATAATAATAATAATAATAATAATAATAAT